AACCTCATTTAATTTGCATGTAGGGTTGATATTATTATGCCATTTTACAGATAGGGAAACTGAGGCATGGAGAGGATTTTGTTGTTTTTTTAAGTTTCTTCAAGGTGACTTAGCTAATTCAGCTATGAAATTATGCAGGCAGTATTTGAACTTAGGCAGGCTGTCCCTGGCATAGAATTCTGGAGAGATATAGGAGAGGGTATAGTCTATGTAGAGAGGTCCCCAGGAGCAGAGGAAAAGGGAACTTTCCAATAGATCTTTCTGGAATGATGGGATTGCCCTGTTATTGGCAATGTCCAATATGAAAGGCACATATGGCTGTTGAGTACTTCAAATAAAATAGTGGCCTGAAGTACCAAACTTTTAATTTTATTTCATTTTAATAGATTTACATTGGACTAGCCACCAGTGGCCAGTGCCCTTACATTAGCTGGCCTGGGTTAGCCCAGGACAAGGAGAGGCTGCCTTTTGTTTCATTTTGCTTTGTTTTGGCAGCTGNGGCCGGTTTGTATGTGGGATCCAAACCCTCGGCGGGAGTGCCACCACGCTTCCAAGTGGCACACTGTAGCAGTGCACCACTGGGCCGGCCCAAATAAGTAAAATTTCTTTTTTTTTTTCCTTTTTGTCTTTTTTCGTGACCGGCAACGGATCGCAACCCTCGGTGTTGCACGCGCACCTCACTCAGCCAGTGAGCAGCCGGTCTGTATGTGGGATCCAAACCCTCGGCGGGATTGCCGCCTCGCTCCCAAGCGGCGCACTGTAGCAGTGCACCACTGGGCCGGCCCAAATAAGTAAAATTTCTAACCAAGCTTTTAACCAGACTTTACTTAGAATTTACCAGCTGCTGGCCATGGAAGACCCTTCCTGCTCCTCAATAGAACCCCTGTCATCTTGCCAAAATGGATCTAAGTCACCGGTGGTGCTTGTTCCTGACCACTGTAGCTTCAGATGCATGGATGATCTTCCCCAAAACCTCTTAGGCCCATTGGACACAGCAGATGGCTGACCTATGGCCCCAAGGAACTTTCACGGATTTCTCTCCCCTTGAAATCACCCTGTTCACCACTCTCCTTTGGGGTATAATGGGGGTTTCTTTCTCCTCCCTGTTTTCTCCTCCCATGATGCCCCCCTCCATTAGGAAGTAGTTCGGAGACCTCAATGACCTTATCTCCAATAGAGGAAAAAGGGAGGAATGTAAGGCCCCATAAAAGACCCCAAAGGAGGCACTCCCTAAAACATGGCACTTTTCTCTTCCGGGTCCTAACAATCTC